CCTTTAGAAATATATTTACTGAGAAAAATTATGTGTTCAATACTTATTTTACCCACTGTATAATACTATACTATATGATACTCTACTATAACATTAGAAATACTATAATAATTTATAAATAATAGTAGTTTGATATTTTAGTAACACTACACTTAAAGCCTTTATGTATAGTGCATGATAAAAGTAGTTTTCAATGCATTAATTATGCCTTGTAATGCACCTTGAAATGCATTGTACAATCTTATAAATAATTGTAACCACAGTTAATACATTATAACACTTAGCAATTCATTGTTACACTATGTATTTTAAATTCGGTTATAATTATTTACGACAAGATATAATATATTACAACACACATTATGAATAATTACAATGCATTATATACCCTTTGATAACCTTTTATAATGCGCTATACAGAAAGGCTTTATAACGTGTTAGCTATATTTTGTTATAATGCAGCGGCATTCATACATTTTTAAGTGTGACTTTTTTTAAGTGTCGCTTAGCATTTTGTCTACTTCGCCATTTATAGTGTTAGTCATATTATGCAATCATAAGACGCCTAAAATCAATGCATCCTGGAATCATGCTATTTAGAGCATGCCGGAGTTAAAAGGAAATAAAAGACGTTCAACATTTTTGAAGCAGTGCTTTTTTTGAGTGTGAAAAACACTTAACTAGGTGGTGCATGATGTTTCTGTCAAATCCGGGATATTGTCCTACATAAACAAAACCAGGTTTAATGATGAGAATGGAAAAAATAGCAGCATAAGCACAGACTGATATCGCACAAACATCAGAGAGAAAAGTCTATCTGGGTTGGAAAAAAAGAACAAAAAAACTCTTAAACAGATGATACAGACCGGGAGCAATTAAGGCAGCCTAGTACCTTAATTAGAGAGAAAGCACATTAAAAGGAATAATGAACGCACACTAGAAAGGGGAGGAAAAAACTCGAGGGCAGGTGCAAGAACTCATGGAGGGGGCCGTGAGCTGAAGGGAAGTGTGGAGGTGTCAACTTTCCCATATATCACCGCTGGATCTGCACTAGTTTAGTGCTGCTGATGGCACTCTTCAACTCGCATCGATTTCAAATGCTGCCCACACATCTCTTTACATAACCGTACGTATCCTCCTCATTCTGTCTCCCGTTGTTCCACAAGCCCATCTATCATCTGCAGCTCGGGGAAACCCGACAGTGGCCCGCGATGAGACAGTCAGACAGGATGAAGCGGACTGAGGATGAGGAAGGGGCAAATGACGGATGCTCAGGGTGAATGCCGACTCCCTGGAGGTGACGTCTCAAGGGGACCTCATACTTCACAGGAGGCAACTGTAACCTTGGCCAAACAAAAGCCGACAAGGGCATCAGCATGTTGCTGGACAACAGAAGGCATCTGAGACCAGGGACGTTCTCGGATTCGGCAGACGTTTGGGAGTTCATGGAGATGACGAACAAGGAGCAGGAACTGCGAAATGCTGACTTTATACATGCTGACTGTGTGAAGAACAAACAGTTATGTCTTTTTTAAAGAGTATAGAAGCCATTCTGAGAAACTTAAAGGGATAAATTTGCCCAGAAATTACCCTCATGTTGTTCCAAACCTGAACAACTTTCATACGTCTGAGGAACATAAAATTCTATATTTTGAAAAAGTCTTAATGTGTTGTTGTTGTTTTGGTCCAGATAGTGGACCCCATTGACACCGTATTGACCCGAATATATATACATATATAATTTTCTATTTTACAGTGAAATATTATAACAATCATATTTCTATTTGTTTAATAATTTTTACATTTGAATAAAAATTACTTTATTTTTCACTTGAATTTTTAACAGAGAAATATTACAATAGTATTAATAGTAGTAATAGTTTCATATTTGTATTCAATAACAGTAATTGATTTTTTTACAGCAAAACAGTTAAATTAATATTATTAATAATAATTATTAATATTTTATTCACAAATTTTAATTTTACAGTAAAATATTACAGTTTTATTTCTTATTAATATTTTTATTCAGTAATAACAATAATAATACTATTTTCTTGTCATATTGATAGAAAAATCACAAATTTAGGGTAAAATTGTGCAGCCCAACAAACAAGCATAGCAAAAAAACATTTTTTTTTTTTTATCGTCACCTTGGAATTATAAGGTTCTATATGACATTTTTTCGTCAAAACTGAGTTATTCACATGTTCTTATTCTACATTATGTGACTTATTTACTTCTGTGATTTTTTTTAAAAAGTTGTGTACATTTTTGTACTTTTTGTTTAAAACAAACAAACAAACAAAAAGGTTCTATCTAAAAAGTATATGGAATGTAAAAACTTGAAGCTCATCTCAAAACCACTTAGAATGCTGATAGAAATGTATAATTTAAAGGTGGTGAAATAGCAATTGCAAATGTTGCCAGTAAAGTTACAATTAAGATTTTTCCCCAAATTGTGCAGCCCTACTTCTAGTTCTCTCGCACATTAATAGGATTTGAACAAGAAAATCATATAACCTTTAATAAAAGAAGGTTAAAAACATTCACGAATCTTCACCTGATCTGGTTCATGAACAGGCATGCTAATCAGCTAAAGGCTAATGAGAGGTGACATGTTATTGTAGAAGCGGCGCAGGACAATCACACACAACTCTTGAGGGGATAGAGTGTCAATTGTGTTTCAGGGAAGAATGACAATGGCTGAGCGCAGCCTGGGAACATGACTTGTTTAACATGCATATTTGATGCAGGTGAGAACAGAGAGGCCCTCTATGCTAGCAACAATTGGCATTGCTCAGTTTCCTGATGCGATTAATTATTCAGATTATCATGGTCCATGAACATGACCGACTATCACAAAGAGACTGACCACGGCTTCCTGATGGACTAATTCCAACAAGAATAGTGATGTAGAGTATTGAACATTCGCTCTTTTATAGGCTCACAATCCTGTGAATAAACTGACGGATGCTGTACTTAACAGCTGCTTGGCACGGTGCTTAATGCTGGTTTTATCTTCGCTCAGAGAGTCGGGCTGGATGACCTGATCCTTGGCTCCAGCTATGGTGAGGGAACTAGATAATTAGGTCAAAAGATAGGCTTTGTACTAACTAAATGTGGCGATCAAGACAGGAAAACGTAAACAGACAACCACTGCTGGCATCGTCTTCATGGTGTCGTTTTCTCTAATCAAAGCTAGTTTGAATTGACGTAGCCAGGCCAAGGATGGATTACCACCCACAGTAATTTTTTTCTTATTTAAACAATATTATAAGTATTAAGATATACATATTTCAAATAGCTTAAATATTTTATATATTTTTCAGATATATAAAATCGCCACAAAGAAGATTTTTGCATATGTGGTTTGTGTTGGTTCTAAATTTCATTCAATTTTTTTTTTTTTAAAGTATGCGATGAAGGCCAAAATGCCTTGACCTTGAAAAAACATCCAGCTTTTGAGGAAGAAGCCATTTGGTTTCATTACTAATCAACAAACGCTATTTACAGCCAATTTCCATCGACATATGGAGAGCACAGTTTCTCCACAGGATGTTGATAATGACATTGAAAACAATGGCTGTTGGCCAAAAAAAGTCACATGACTGTGACTGAGGAGAGAAACCAATGACGTAAAGCTCACCGTGCTCACAGTTTGGTCTGACTCACAGCCCCTCAGGCCATGTCTGACTCATTTACACAATTATAATTGAAAGTTTTCAATATGCAGCAGTACTAAAGTTCAACTTTGAGATGGGGTCTAACGATTTTGTCATTAAAGGGCCATTTGCCTGTGCTATTAGCGATTAAATTGGCCTTTATCACAATCTGCAAGCATATTTATTTTGCTGTTCATATTAAAAGGTCAGGTTTAAAAACACATTAATTTAGGATTTTTGTTGCACGGCAGAAACAAAAAGAATTTAGAGATGTAAACTCAGAATTCTAAGGAAAAAAATCTAAATTGCGAGATAAAATTAGAATTGTGAGATCTAAAATCCGAATTCTGAGGAAAAGAAAAATATTGTGAGATATAAACTAAGAATCATAAGATGTAAACAGAATTTTTTTTTGAAATTGTGAGATATTAGACATTAACTTGCAATTATTAGAAAAAAGTCAGTATTGTGAAATAAGTCACAGTTAACATTTTTTGCATCATGGAAAAAAAAGATTTGCTAGATGTAAACTCTAAATTGCAAGATGTAAACCAAATAAATTGTGATATTTAAACTTAGAATTACAATATGTAAACAAAGAAAAAATCTGTATCTCACAATTCAGATTTTTTTCCCCCTGATAATTAAGTTTATATCTTACAATTCTGAGTTTATTTTTCGCAAATCTGTTTATATTACAATTTTGTCAGAATTGCAAGAAAAAAAATTCTGAACTGTGCAATAAAAAGTATTTTATTTTTTATTCCATGGCAAAAATGGACTTGCGTAGAATAATTTCCTAAGACCGATTGATTGATTCAGGACTGCAACACAACAACTGTCCCTATGAGTGAGTCACTGAGTCATTCACTAAAACAGACTCATTCAAAAACAGTGATTTTTCAGAAATGGAACAACTTTCTTTATGAGTGAATCACTGAATGATCCATTAAAACCAATTCCTTGAACACTGATTTATTTAGGAACTAATCAAGTGGTTGTCTTAATTAATGAATCATTGAATCACTCAGTGGATTCATTCAAAAACACAATCACATTAATTTCTTTATGGAACAGAATACAACTGTGGTGCATTGCTTGGAGACGACTATTGATTCTTCTGTGGCTTCATGTGGAATTATTTTCATTGGTGGAGTAAAAACAGATGACGAGGAATTCTTTTGTCTAAAATGTAAGTTATTCAGTACTAATGTATTGGATTTTTTTTTAAACTATTGTATGACTCCAGCAAGTCGAACTGTTGTTCAAATATTGCTTAATTTATAACTGTTATCAAAGAAAACATTGAATATACTAAGGTTTTCCAGAACTCACTAAGTCACTGGATGAAGTAGCTTAGAGGATGTCATACTCCATTATGGCATGACTCATCAGATTTAACGTGGAGCGACATCCCAGAGAGCTCAAATCTTGAAGCATCTCCAGATTTATTCTCTGCAGAAAATAAAATAATTAGTGCCTATGGTATCATCTTTAAAATGTCAAAATGCACACCTCACAATATTTTTCACTAAATATAAATGACCTTCCGCTGCTTCGGTATTTCACATTGGGATATCTCCTTGTAGTTACGCAGCGGCTAATGAGTTCCACTGGGTAGTCCAGGTCCTAGCAGCACTGCAGTCAGCATGCATGTGGACAGGGCAATAGTAAAGTAGGTCAGCCATGTACAGCACCCCTGGCATTTGGGCACAGCCAGCAGTACCCGTAAATTAACATCGTCTCTGTAAGACCCTCCAAATTGAGACACGGCACTGACAGGAGTGCCGCCAGTCACTGGATCCTCAGAGCTGAGGAAATAAATTAAGAGGATTACAGAAGTGGCATGAAGATTGTGATTGCACATGAGTGCAGAGTCATAAACTGCAAACGTTTATCACCATGAAACACAGCTTGAAACACGGTCTTGCGAGTATGCTATAAAGTTAATAAAACTACGCCTAAAGTGGACAAATACACTCACCAGCTATTTTATTTGGTACACCTGCTAGTACAGAGTTGTCAACAAGGTGCTGGAAACGCTCCTCAGAGCTTTTGGTTTGAGATCTGGTGACTTGTGGAGGCCATTTGTGTACAGTGAACTCATTTTCATGTTCAAGAACCCAGTTTGAGATGATTTGAGCTTTGTGACATGACGCGTTAGAAATGGTCAGCAACATTTCGGTAGCCTGTGGCGTTTAAACGATGCTCAGTTGGTACTAAGGCACCAAAAGTGAGCCAGGAAAATATCCACCAGCACCAGCATCAGCTTGAAACATTAATACTGTACAAGGCAGGATGATCCATGCTTTCATGTTGATTACGACAAATTCTGACCCTACTATCCAAATGTCACAGCAGAAATCAGGACTAATCAGACTAGGCAACCTATTTCCAATCTTCTATTGTCCAATTTTGGTGAGCCTGAGTGAATTGTAGCCTCAGTTTCCTGTTCTTCGTCTTAGCATGTTGTGGCCTTCTGCTGCTGTAGTCCGTCTGCTTCAGGGTTCGACATGATGTGCAGTCAGAGATGCTCTTCTTTATACCTCTGTTGTAGCAAGTGGTTAAGTTACTGTTGCCTTTCTATCAGCTCGAACCAGTCTGGCCATTCTCCTCTGACCTTTGGCATCAACAGTGTATTTTCAACATTTGAATAAAAAAAAAAATAAAATAAAATGTATATACTGTATATTGTTCAGCCCAAGTAAAAAAAAAAAAAAAAAAAAAAAAAAAATGGAAAAACTGCAAATCCTTTTACTTTTTTGA